GCTGGAGCTCTCTGGGAGGCAGGAGCCTGGCCCGCGGCCTGGCCAGTGGGTGCACAGCCTGCTGTAAGCCTGTCCCAGGCGTGTCCAGGAGCCTGGCCCTTAGTGTCCCCTGGCCTCCAGGGGTAGGACAGTCAGTGGCTCTGCAGGTAGGAATCTGAGAAAGGGCTGGATTCGAACTTGTCACTCTGAGACAGAGCAGGAGAGCCTGGGCTAAGGAGGCAGCCCCCTGTGCCAGCCTTGGCTGAGCTGTGCTGAGTCCCCATTTTCCTTTGTGTGACAAAGGACTGCGAGCCCCCCTGGCTTGTGTGGAACAAGATGAGAATGTGTGAGGTTCTGAAAACTGCACAGAGGGAGTCGTAATTTCGAGGTGAGGGGCAGACAAGAGTAAGGATCAGGGATAAATGGGTCAGTCCCCCACTGCATGCTGGAGCCTCTGGAACCCACTTTGAAACTTCAGCGGTGTCTCTGAACCCCACATTTGGAAGCCCACCCTGCAGCCTGTGCAAGACAAGGGCGCCTGGTGCCTGGGACCAGCTCTCAGGGCCTCGCCTCTGAAGGGACCAGCCGAGGTGCCAACATGGAAAGCAAAATTCTAAATCTGTCAAGCCATGAACACCCCAGTCAAAAAACCTTGGAGAAGATGCGGAAAAGTAATTAATTCATAGGAGAATGAACGTTACTGGATGGTAAACACTTGGAAGCAGGAATCAACCTCACACATAGCCAAAGTGAAAATAAAGGCCTAGAGGTGGAGCTCAGTGGTAGAGCACTTCCTGAGCTGGGCGAGGCACTAGGATGATAAATAACTGAATTACAAATGTCTTACAGCAACCCTGAGGGTTTTTCTTAAAAGCCCCCATTAGATTAACAGAAGATCAGAAACCTTTCTCCCAGTGTGGCAGATTGCCCTTACTCACCTGTGGCCTTACCTGCCTCATCTGTAAAATGGGCAACCACGGTGCCCACCTTCTAGGTATGTGGAGAAACTGAAGCTAGCTGTCAGTCTAGAGCCCTTGGAGGCAGGCCAGGCACATGGAAATGCTTACTGAACACAAGTACTTCTTACTGCATGGTTACTGTTGGTTCAAAGTGTAACTTGGTACAGTCTCTCTGAAGGGCACTTTGGGGACATATATGCCAGGTTTTAACGAGTAACACAGACACTTGTCCAGGTCAGCCTGTTCCCCGAATGTCAACAGTGCCTCTGTCTGAATGAAGCACTTCAAGGAGGGCTTTTTGTTTCTTCTTTACGTTTTCTGTACTATTTAAAAATTTTAAAGTATGAATGTTTTTTAAAGCCCACTACAGCTATTTTCCTTTGTCTAAAGTTCCAGCATGGAGGGCTGTGCGTGCAGCTCTCTCAGTGGCAGAGTGCTTGCCTATTGTGTACAAGGCCATAGGTTCAGTTCCCAATATCACCAAAAACAAAACAACCCTGTCATTTTGCTGAGCCTGTAATCTCAGCTCTCGGGAGGCTGAAGCAAGAGGATTGCCACAAGTTCAAGGCCAGCCTGGGCTACATAGTGAGTTCAAGGCCCGCCTGAACTACCCAGTGAGACCCTGTCTCAAACAAAAAACAAACAACAAAAAAGTTCAAACACATTAAGTGCTGGCCGGGAAAACATGGCATTCTGTGTCTAGAAACACGGCTGGGTGCAGGCTGCTGAGGAGTACCAGACTTCAACTCTCACTTGCAGTAGGAATTGGGTTGGTGCTGAGGGTGACAGGGAGGCCTCAAGGTCTCCACAGAGGGGACATCAGTAGGTGGAGACACAGGAAGTGTCCTGGGCTCAGCAAAAGCACAGGAACCTGTGTGCAAAGGGGTCGGGGTGGGAGATGTGAATGCTGGTCAAGGTGGCCCACTCCTGTGATCCAGCACCCTGCGTGGCTGAGGCAGGAGGATTGCCAGTTTGAGGCCAGCCTTGCAAACTTTGACTTAGTGAGATTGTTTCTCAAAATAAAAAATAAAAAGGACTGGGAATGTAGCTTGGTGCAAAGGTCCTGGATTCAATGCCCAATACCAGAAAGAAGGAAGGGGGTGGGGGTGGAAAGAAAGGAAGAAAAGAAGGAAAATTCCGAGGAGTCAGCCTCAGAACAGCAGCCCCAGGAGGGCTCTGGTGTCTGTGTGCAGGGAGGGGATAGCCAGGGTGGCACAGAGCCACTCCAGCATGGCATACAGGTGATCACCTTCACCTGGTAGGGCAGCCAGGAGGGGACTTTGTGGCATTTGCAGCTCAGGGACCCCAAGCTTGTACCCATGACTGCTGGCCCCCCTCTCCCCACTGAAGGTCACCCCGCCAGAGCCTGTGGCTTGGCCCAGACCTCCCAGACACACCGGTCTGGCAGACCCTGGAAAGGTGCTTAGGGCATGACCGACTGGCACTGGTGTGTCCCCAAGAGAAGCTGACCCCGGGCATGGAGTGCTGAAGTGGAGGGCTCATGGCAGGTATGGCAGCCTCTGCTTCACAGGCTTTGAGGGCACAGTCGTTGTCTTCACAAGCACAGGAGGGGGCTCCCGTGACCTCCCGCTGTCCTTTCCTGTGTCTGTCAGCAGGGGCAGTGTGCGCGTCCCAAGAGAAGGAGGAGAAGAACCCTGGTGCAGCCATGGGGTGTGACTCGCAGCCCAGGCATTCGGGCCAGCGGGACATGTGACACTGTGACCAGGATCCTGGGGCCCCAAGTGTGTGTGTGTGTGTGTGTGTGAGACCACGCAGCCCTCCTGCTCCCAGAGCCTGCAGTAAGGCCTCTCTGGCTCAGCCTGCTGCCTTCAGCGTACAGCCACCCTAGAATCCGGGGTCCTCCCCACTTCCCAGGGAGTTCCAACCCTTGTGCCCTCTGTCCCCACACTGCCCCCTGCTGGAAGGACGGAGGTTGGAGCTCATGAGAGGTGGAGACATTTTGATTGGCCTTTCCCCTCCTTCCTGGCCAACAGAACTCTGATTTTGTTCAAAGGAGCAGGAAATAAATATTGCCTCACCACCAGCTGGTCATTGTGGTGACCACCCTATGCTTCTTTGCCAGATCCTGTCTTTCCTAGCTTCTTTTTGACCCAGTTTCAGGCCATGAAATATAAAGAATAGGGTGGGGGGACTTCTGGGAAAGATTTTGCTTCTTCATAAAATGGATGGATGCGACAGGAGAGTTTTCTTAATCCCTGCTCCCCCACCTTTTAACATACAGGAGTGCATACATGATGTCTGGTGTTACAGCAGCGATCCTGTAACTATGCAACCCCAGATTAGCTCTGAAGATAGTGGACAGAGAGATAAAAAACTTGGGTCCACAGTGACCCCCACCAAGCTTTCAAACCACCCTGAGATTACCTGTATCCAGCATCCTTAATGGATACTGTATTTATTGTTTAGATTCTATTACTCACAGCCAAACATATCAGAGATGTACTGAGTTGGATTTGCTTAATATACGTGCAAACCACCCATCTCGGTGTTCTCAGTAGACAGTGGCCATGCTTGCCATCAAGTGCACACACGTGTGTGCAAGTTGCTCACACACGTGGGAGGATGATGGACATGTGCTGTAAACACACATAGGACTCTAGGATCAGAATGGTTCTGGCTCCTTGTGTGGCTCGGGCCCTCGGGCCGCTCCGGAAACTTGCTGCCCTGTGTGCAGGTTCCTTAACTAAGCAGGCAGGATGGAGATAGCTATGTATGCAGGTGGGGAAACTGAGGCTCTGGGAATTGCCAAAGAAGAGAGCCAAAAAATTGCGACCTAGGTGAGCCACACAGCACCTTGTGTGCAGGGCTGAAGGTGCACACAAAGGTGGGTGTTCAGGTGTGTATAGGGTGTGCAAGCAGGCACAGTCCCTAGGCCAGCATTCAGCGGACCCTGGGGCTGTGTCTTCCCCCACACAGTAGTCGCCCTCCCCAGTCCCTTGCTGGCTCTACAGACACCTGGCTCTGCAGGCCTCCCTGCACCAGGGCCCTGGCTCCGCAGCGGGACTTCTCTCCTTCTCCAAAACAGCCAGACCACAGCTCCCTCGGGATGGGGCGGGCTCACTCAGGCTGTCTCCAGCTGGCTGCTTTAGTCCAGGCCCCTTTCCTCCCAGCAGCTCCCCTCCTTGGCAGAGAAGACCCTTCTGGCTTCCCTGAGGACAGGGGTCCACTGAGACCCCAATCCTGTCACCCTGAAAGGCTCTTTTCTCACCCTCTTGCTGTGGCCCTCGCCTCTCTTTCTGGAGGGGCAGCACAGGGAGCATTCAGTGGCCCCCAGAACATGGGAAGCCACCCTCCAGCCTTGAGCCACAAACCTCACGATTCCCGGTGTTCTCCCAGCAAATGTGACATCCTCCCCCCAGGGAGTCTTTGACCCAGTTTAGGCCCTGAGCCAAAAGGTCCTTAAAACAAAGCAAAGCCAAGGAGAGAGAGAATTGCTCTTCTGACAGAGAAAGCCAAACACTGTCACCTGCCAGGGCCACTGGCTGCCTCCCAGGAGCTGCGGAGAGGAGAAGAGGGTGGCCAGGAGCCAGGCCAGGAGGGTACCCTTGTGTGTTGGGGGCCTTGGGGCCCTACTGGCAGGGGGCAGAGGCTGTGAGCAGGCACCCAGCCCACTGCCCATGGGGCCTGTGACCTTTGGGGTGGGAGTCCCCACCCCTGGAGGGCTCCTGAAGCTCTTGGGAGACAGGGCCAGGCAGAGCCCTGGAAGGCACCTGGCAGACATCACAGAACGGTTGGGCCACTCTTCCCATGGTCCCTGTGCCTGTCCCACACCCGGCCTGTGGGAGACAGGATGGCAGTAACGACGGCAGTAACGATAGGGTCCGTAGACGGCCTCACTCTCTCAGATCCTGGCTTGAGAGACTGAGGCTCGGAGTGAGAACTCCAGTGGGCTCGTGATCTGTCTGAGGGAGGACAGGGGCTAGAATACAAATCTCCTGGCCTCCCCGCCTCACAGCCCCTCAACTAAATAGTGCGCTCCCACATGTAGTGCCTTCAAGGAGGGGCCTATAATGAGGTGCTTTCACTTCCCCTCATTCACAGGTAAGCAGGGTGGAGCACAGAGAGGCCAAGCAACAGACCCAAGGCCACACAGCAGATATGCAGCGCACAGGACTAAAAGCTGGGACACAGACACTAGGGCTAATAGCTGTGGCCCATAAAGAAGCCAGAGAGAAGCTGATAGAGGCCTTTGTTCTCCGCTCACTGCCCAGGCCCTGGGCCAAGCAGGTAGGGTATCATGAGAGCTGCCTGGCATGAATGGACCGTGGACCTCCTCTCTGTTCCAGCTGTAGGCCTTCCCCGGCCTCTGGAGCCTCACCTTGAGAGCCCCTGCACTGTCCCCTGCTCTCTGGGGGAGCTGTGTGTTCTTGGGGAGTCATCTGGGCCCGGCCTGGCCCTCTACCCAAGTGTGGTGCTGACCCTGCACACCGCCCTCTGCCCCTTGGTAAACCAGCTGCTGCCTGGGGCCTCAGAGAGAGACCCCTCCCTGCCGGGCACGCAGCTGGGGGATGGAGGAGCAGAGCCTGTGGTGGTTGCCAGGCAACAGCAGCCCAGGGCCTGCGAAGGCTGCTGAGAGCTGGCAGGAAGTTGGGCTGCTGGGAGGCAGCCGCCCCATCATTCCTTCTGCTCCAAGGCAGGGTGCAGGCTGGGAGAGGGTCCCTGGGGGTGTGCTGGTGTCTGCAGCCTGGGAGCCTCAGACCTGTGGGATGTAGAGCGTGAGCCATACCCTCCTGCCTAGAGAACTTGGCAGGAGGAACTTGGGGACTGGCGTCCTGCCTCTGACCCTGCTCCAGTCTCAGGGAAGTTTTTCAGCCTCTCTCAGGCCCTGGCGCTCTCATCCGGGATGGGAGCTGCTGTAACAAACCCCACGCTGGTGGCTTTGCCAGTAGAACCCCATTTCCTCACCCCTCTGGAGGTGTGAGGTGAGTTGTCCTGAGGCCTCGCTCCTTGATGTCCAGGCCCCTGGCTTCTCTCTGTGTCCATGCAGTCAGCTCCCAGTGTGTGCCTGGGCCCTCATCTCACAGATGGACATAGTCCTCTTGGCTTTAGCGTCCTATAACTTTATGTAATCACTTCTTTAATTGCTCTGTCTCCCAATACAGGCACATCCTGAGGTACTGGAGATTAGGGCTTCAGCGTATTTATTTTCAGGGGGACTCAATTCAGCCCACAACAGGGTATAATCTGAGTATCTACCTCCTAGGTTTGCTGTGAGGATTATTTACCACAAGAGCAGCCACCAAGCCTGGGCAACACTTGGTAGCCATAAATTTACACTTCAGGGGTGCCCAGACCCACCCAAAGGAAATGTGGGGTCCTGGAGCCCAGTCCTGGCTGAGGGGGTCGTTGCCTAGGGTGCTGCCTCCCAGGCCTGACCTGTGCAGTCTCCCAACAGCCGGACAGGCAAGGACCACTCTCCTCTGGGCCCCTTGTGAGGCCTGCAGAGCTTTGTTTCTGAGACGTCTTGTGTGAAGAGATTCAAAGGCGCAGTCTGAGCTTTTGAAGTAAGAAAGTGGGCAGGATGTCAGGTTCCACAGGCCGGCCAGACCTCCCCGCCTGTACTTCTCAGCTAAGGCCCGCAGGAAGCCATGCCGCCCATCTCAGTGGCCTGTACTCTGGGATTGATGTTTCCCATGGTGATCGTGTGAGCCAACTTCTAGAAGACCCAGGTCCATGCTGCTCCCATGAGCACATGTTGGGTGTTTCCTGGCCAAAAAGAACCCCGGATTGAAAGGTAGCTTCCCTTCTCTGCAAAGGGCCCAGCTCACTGCTATAGTGAGGGACTGGAGGGGAAGGAATGGGGCTGGGCCATGAGTTTAGTGCTCCTTTGGAGATTTTGAGAAAATGCCGGGCTTGCGGTCATTTTGAAATTTTGTTGAATTGCAGGATTTCTCTATCTTAGACCAGAGACTCTCAGAGCAGGGCATGGTGGTGCATGCCTGTGATCCCAGCACTCTGAGGAGCTGGGGTGGCAGGATTGCAAATTCCAGCCTGGGTAACTCAGTGACTTAGTGAAACCTGGTCTCAGAATACAAAACAAACAAAAAGGGGCCGGGACTACAGCTCAGTGTGAAGGCCCTGTGTTCAGTCCTCAGTATCGCAAAATCAACTAACAAGCCAACCATGGACTTCAGGTGGAGAAAACCATGGCACACAACAGTAGCTCAGGAGATGTGCTCTGATTCTCACAGCGGCACAGTGCCCCGGGGGCTGCTGGGCAGAGGGTCTGTTCAGCCACCATAGCCTGTTTCTCTCTGGGGAGGAAGGAAGCCACAGCAGGGAGCCTGGCCTCTGGTTCCCGCATCTGCCACCTCCCTACAGGCTTCTTTTGGCAGGAAGGGGTATAGACACCAGGATGCTTCACCAGACCCCTGGCAGAAGCCAGAGCCAGGCAGGACGAAACCTCTTTCTTGTCCCCAGGGAGTCCAGCCAGTGTGACCAGCGACTTTCACACGAACCCTTCCCTGGGGCAGTGTTCAGGGCCTGTCCACGTGCTCACCCAGCCCTGCCTCAGCTCTGGAGGGCACAGCGCTGGGGAGTGGGGAGCCTCTGGGCTCCCAGGAGAGGTGAGGATGAGGAGGCCGCTCCTGCCCCACCCCGGCTCCGGCTCCTGGCAGCCTGGCTTGCCTTTCCTGGCGGTGGGAAGCCCAGGTGGCCCTGGGCAGAGCAAGAGCAGTGTCCCTGTCGCCTTGGTGCTTGGCCCTTGCACCAGGCCCCACCCGGCCAAGCCTCTACTTCCTGAGCCAAACCCTTCCTAAAAAGGAAGTGGGCTGTGGTGGCCCAGGCTATTCTTAGACAATTGTGTTGAAAACCCAAAGTATATGTAGCATCACGTGTTTTCTTTATGGGAAGAAAAAAGTGGGAGTACACAGATTCCCACCCTCCCCTTCTCAGTGGGCTGTACCCCTGGGAGGAGGCCCTCATCCAACCATCCCCGGGTCTGCCCAGCGTGGGGTTGAGGGGCTCAAGGCTTTGGGCACAGATAGGACCCGCTCAGTCCCTTCTCAGCCTGGAGTCTTCGAGGCTGTGAGGCACAGAGATCACCTGACTTAACAGGCGGAGACTCAGGGCCAGCAGGTCCTCACTCAAGCTTCGTTAAGGTCTGATAAGCAAGAACTGCACATATTGAATACCTGTCCCTCAAGTCTCCCTTTCACCTTGGTGATAATCCCTCCCTCCTGACCTCACTGCCTCTCTGGCCCAAGAACCCCTAGATCTCCTTTCTGTCCAATGGGTCAGTTCATAATTTCTAGAGTTGTATGTTTTATATCGATGGAATCACAATTCAGTGCTGGAGATGGGGCCCAGGGCCTCTGCACTGAGCTACATCCCCTGTGCTTTTTAAAATTTTTATTTTGAGACAGTGTCTCATGAAGTCACTAAGTTCTCCAGGCTGTGTTTGCACTTGCAGTCCTCCTGCCTCAGCCTCCTAGGATGTTGGGGTTACAGGCATGGTGGCTGCGTGTTATCTTTGGCTGGCTTCTCTGCTTCATTGTTATTTTGAGTCATGTCATTGTGAGAATCAATGATTTATCTTTTATTGCTGAATGGTACCCATGGGGAAGACAGATCACCATTTGTTTAGTTAGTCATCTGTGGGTGGACATTGGAAGTGTATCTAGTTTGAAGGTATTACAAATAAAGGTGCTGTGAAATTTGTGTACCTATCTTCATATGAACATATACTTCCTTTGCTTTGAGGGAAACAGTAGGAGAGGAATTCCTGGACTACTTTATGTTTAGCTTTCTAAGAAACTGTCATAATGTTTTCCAAAGTGGCTGATTTTACATCCCTAGGTGTGTGGGAATCCAGTTTCTGCAAACCTTCACCAACACTTGTTACTGTTTGACTTTCTGATTAGTCATCTTAGCAGATATGAGATGAAATCATGCTGCATTTTTTATTTGCATTTATCCCATGTTGAATATTTTATCAGTACTTGTTGATCCAAATGCACTTTTTCTTCAAATAAACTTTAAAAAAAACCCCACTTCTCACTATGATGTAGTTTAGGCTGGCCTTGAACACACTCTATAGCCTAGGCTGCCTTCAAATGCATGGGATCCCCCTGCCTCAGCCTCTTGAGTGCTGCAATTATAGGCCCATGCCACCATGCCTGACTTCTTCAAATAAACTTAATTTTAGACTAATTTTTGATTTACCGAAAAGTTGCACAGATAATGCAAGAGTTCCCAGAAACCCCTTGATCACTTTGCTCTGATAGCAGCCCTCATGTTTTCCTGATCCATTGGTCACAACTGAGGGGCACACAGCATTTGACTGTGATCAAAACTGCAGACGGTGTTCCTGTGTCTCTGCTGTGGGCACGAGCAGGCCTTCCCACCTAGACCACACTGTCGTTAGTTACCACATCCCTGTCACCCTGTGGTTAGTGTCAGTTCTCCGGCGTTGCCTTGTGTCTCACGGTCCGGGCGAATTTGAGGGGTGCTGGACACATATTTACTGAAGGTCCTTGATTTGGATTTGTCTGAGGGTTTCTCATGAAGAGGCTGGGGTACCCTGAGGGAAGTGCTGCTCTCCCCATCTTTCCGGGGGCACGCGCCACTCCTGTGGTTCTTCAGCAACAACGACACTGACCTCCATCACTGCTTTCCCCTCCTGAGCTCTTCTCTGGGGGGTCCAGCGTACTCTGGAGATGCAGCTTCCCAGGTGCACCACGCTGACGTTCACTTTGACCCTGGCCCTGCCATCGCCCTGCCCCTGGGGACAGGGCCCAGTAATGTCTCAACTTGGCAAAGTAGCAATTCCAAAGGATCTGGGGTGAGCTGGTCAAACTTCCCTACCTGTTACACAGAAGAGGAAACTGAGGCCCAGAGATGGGGTGACTCATTTCTGGGCAAACGGCAAGGGGGTCCTGGCCCAGGGGAAACGCTAGCTAGGTGAGCAAATACGTGACAAGGACTCCCTATGACCATGGAGGCAGCCATGCCGGTCATGTCTCCTCCAGCCAACTTCACAAACAGGACAGTGAGAATGGGGGAGACCAGGGGAGAATGTGCCAAAGAACAGACAGTGTCGGTGTTAAAAATGGGAGGGGTTTTGCCCTGGTACCACACGGAGGTCATGGCTGGGTCCTGGGGGCTGGATGGAACATGTGTTCTTGGTCATCTCTTCTCCGAGTCTTACTTTTTTTTTGTTGTTGTTACCAGGGATCGAACTCAGGGCCTTGTACTTGTGAGGCAGGCGACAGCACCACGGAGCTAAACCCCTGGCCCTGAGTCTTACTTTTCCACCTATAAAATGGAGATAATCACCATGTCTTCAGTGCATTACCTCCAATTTGTGTAATATGATTCAGCCAAGGACAGGGTATGTGCGTGTCCTGTTGTGTGTTGATTTTGATGTGTGCTAGAGGTGTTTGGTTGACATTTAAAGAACCCTAATCAGGAGTACACACACTGGGCCGGTCAGCTGGCACCAGAAGGACTGACCAGCAGCTAGGGGCTGGAGGCAGCCAGGCCATGTGAACAACTGCATCAGGCCCAGAGGAGAAACGCTGTATGTGCACACGTGCTAGTGAGGTTAGTGGTGTTGAGTGTATGCACAGAGTAGTTCTATGGCTTAACTATACTCCCGAAAGTGTTAGGAACTCGATTGCCATCGTAAGAGTAAGAGGCGGGAACTAAACTTTTTGTTGTTGTTTTTTTGAGACAGGGACTTGCTGTGTAGTTTAGGCTGGTCTTGAATTCACTATGTAGCCCAGGCTGGCCTTGAATTCACAGCGATCTTCCTGTCTCGGCCTCTGGAGTGCTGGGATTACAGGCGTGCGCCACCAAGCCTGGCTGGAACTCGGACTTTTAAGAGATGATTAGGCCAGGAGGGATCTCTCTGCAGGAATGCACTGATGCTATAACTATGGGAACAGATTTCTTATATGAGGATGAGCTCAGCTCCTCTTGCTCTCTCTCCTTTTCTTGCTTTTCTGCCAGAGGATGACATAGGTGGGAGATCCTCCACTGCCATCTTGGACTCCGCAGTCTCCAGATGGTGAACCAAGACATTTCTGCTCATTATAAATTACCCAGTCTGTGGTGTTCTGTTGTAGCTACACAAAATGGGCCAAGCCAGCTAGCCACGTTGTACAGAGGCTTCTATCTCTGGGGTGTCCCAGGACCAGGGACTCTTGTTCCGTGAACAGACACCTTTGAAGATTGCGTTGCCTCTCCTGAGCCCAGCCACCAGTCATGTTCTGTCAGCCACCTCACCAGTTCCTGGCCGCACACTGGCTGCACCTTGGCACTGTTGCCAGCGGCATGGTCTGTCTGCACCTCCCACTCCCTGAGTATCATCTGGCGCATGATCTTGTTGCTACTACTGCTCCCGATAGGCTACTACCCAGAGTCACTGGGCAAAAACTAGTGACCAAAGCCACCAGTCTGGCTCTGGTCAGCTTCCTGACAGCTTCCTAATAAGTGGTGGAAAATACCATAAATGCGGGCTAATAAATGTGAGCTAATGGACTAACATTCCTCCTGGAAGCTACGATAAGAAATCAGAGATGCTGGGGGAAAAAACATGCACATGAGTGGCTAAGAGAGAGGCTTCTGGAGTCCTGTATCTGGGTGCAAATCCTTCTTCAGCGACTCCCAGCCCTCAGGAAGTTGCTTCATCTTGAAGGAGCCTTGGTTCTTCACCTGCACCTGTGTCCGTAGCAACAGTATCTGTGGTATAGGGTTGCCAAGGGGATTCGATGCGTCGGTGTATGTGGACCACTCAGAACAAAGCCTGGGTGCACGACAAATGCCCAATAAATGTGAGCTGACACAAATGACCCCACCGAATATGGTTGCACAATGTGGAACTTGGGTTACATAATCGGCAGTACATTCATATAACAGAAGTAAGCTGTCTTCAAAGACAGCTCTTCATTATAAAGACTCTTTATTGTCCATAAAGAGCTTTAATGACAAAAACATTAAAAGAAAAGGTCTGTGATGTGTTGTATGTAGCATAATCTCACTTTACTGAAATATATACTTGTAGGAAAGTGCCGGGAGGCACTAGGCCAAAATGTTCAGAAGGTGGCACAAGATGGTAGAAATTGATGACCTAAACCTTTATATTTCTGACACTGTCCATGGTGGAACTTGTCCATCAGAAGGTGGAATAAGGGCCGGGGGTTTAGCTCAGTGGTTCCGGCACCTGCCTTGCAAATGCAAGGACCTGAGTTTGATCCCCCGTACCAAAAAAGAAAAAGAAAAAGAAGGTGGAATAATGGCCCCCAAAGATATCCACATCCTATCCCCTGGAACCTGTAGGTATGTATCTTCCAATCTTCCACGGCAAAAGGGACTTTGTCAATGTGACTAAATGAAGGACTTGAGGTGGGCCCAAAGTAGTCTTGAGGGTCTTTCAAATGAAAGAGGAAGGAGGGGGGTCAGAGTTGTGGAAGGAGATGCACCAAAGCCCAGAGCCATAAGGGACTGATTCTCTCTGGGGTACCTGGAAATGACCCTGACATCACCTTGATTTTGCCCCTGAGAACCATGTCAAACTTCTGACTTCCAGAGCTATAGGGTAAAAAATTGGTGTGGTTTTTAAGGCATTAAGTTCTGCAGCCCAAACCTGTGGCCTTCAAGGTGCTGCCCCAGGCAGCTATGGACCTGCACCGTGCTGGTGGCCTCAGCCCAAGCGTGGCCTCTGGGTCGGAGGAGGCCAAGGTGAGGAGAGGCCCATCTGGCCCCTTGCAAGCCTGGAACAGTGGTGGGTAGTGCATCCACTTCCTCTCCTAACCTCTCGCCTCCTCCTCCAAGCAGAGCACAGTGGGATTGGGACTCCTATCCAGCTTCCACCTGGGCACGTCACTCTGAAGCTGTCCTCCCTGCCTCCTTGGGTCTTTGGTGTGTCTTGGGTTCTCCAGGCCTCTGCTTAAGAGGAAAGGAAGGAAGAAACCCTCCACATCCACAACCTCTGTTACTATGTCCAGCAGCCCCAAGAGGGAATATTACAGCCCCAGCCATGGAGACTGTGGATGGAGGCTCTGGTCCATTGGAGGTGACGTGACCAGGCAGAGCTGGGATTCCAGCCAGATCTGTGTGACCCATGGTCACCAGGAAACCCTATTGTCCTCAAGGGGTCAGGGTAAAATGGCTGAAGATGGAGGAGGTGGGCAGCCAGATGGCCAGCTGTGGCTCCTGGTTAGAGACAGACTTTCCCGCCACCTCCCTGTGGCCAGCACCAGGCAGGGCCTGAGCATCCAGCAAGGGTCCTGCTTGCTGGTCTGGCTCTGAAGCTGCATATGGTGGCCCCATGGGGTGATAGCCTTGGTGTCCCCTGCCTGGCACCTACAACCCTGCAGCTGCATGCTGACTCATGTCTCAGCCCGGAAGCAGGCTGAAGAGAGGCAATGGTCCTATCTGACCATGAGTGCTCAGAGGGACAGTGACTCAGGGTGGCCCTGAGGGAGGTGCAAGGCTGGAGAGGGTCTTCCAGGGCACGGCCTTGCAGAAGTGCCACAGCTGTGCCCCTGGAGACCTTGTGGAGGAGCCGATGTCTGTGAGTGAGGCGGTCACAGGATGTCCTTTTCCTGGTCCCATCTGGCCAGGCGTGGGAGCAGGAAATGAGGACCATGTGGGAGGAGGGCTGGTGGCAGGAGCAGCCTCTTGGCCCTTTCCATCCATCTCCAGGTGTGTGTGTGTGTGTGTGTGTGTGTGTGTGTGTGTGTGTGAGTGTGTGTGTGGTATGCATAGGGTCCCTGAGGCCAGCACAGCCTGTCCACTGCCCCCACCCCCAGGACTTGAACAAGGGCTTAGGGCTTTTGGTGAAGTATGTGGATGCTTTTGGATGAGGCAGAAAGGACTCAGAGGAGCCAGTGAGGGGAGGTTGCTACCACCTTGCGCAATGTCCCAGGGCACTGCTGGGCATACTACAACATGGTTGGTGTCCCCAGCTGGGCAGTGCCCAGCCTCTGGCCTTGAGAGGAGAGGGGAGAAGAGCAGAAATGAGCCTGGTGGAGACCAGAGAATGGGAGCTGAGCTGTGGGAAAGGAAAGTATCAGAGGGAGATGGCAGAAGAATGTGGCTGTCCATTCTGGGGAGTCCCTTCTGCTGCCCCAGGCTTCAGCCCGCCTGAGACTGGCTGTGCTGGGAGACCAGGGCCAGGCTGGTGATGTGCCCAGCACAGACAGGTTGGAGGGCAGGCAACTCCAGGTATGGTGGGGACAGTGCCTGGAAGAGGACAGCACCATGGGCAGATGGCACGAGCATCCCAGGGTGATGTGTGACTTCCAGGGAGATCTGTGTGGCCAGCTGGAGGAGTCTTCAGCTTCTCATGTGGTCGCAGACATGGACACACATGTGTACACATCTCCTTACAGCGTGAAGACAGGCGAGGGGCTCAGGCCCCAAGTGGGGACGGAGTCGTGGCCTGTGCTCCAACCTTTGACCTGGAGACAGACACACAGGTCAGCCCATGGGCTTCGAGAGGCTGAAGATGGGAGAGGCCTGCTCTGGCCCACACCTCCTGGTCCTCACAATCCTTCTCAACCCAGAAGGGTCGACCCCTCTAAGGAAGTGGCTTGTCTCTCTCCTTCCCCTGCTGGCCCATTCACACTCCTGTTTTCCTCCAACTCCACATGTCACCGCCATCCCCACCCTCATCTTGCTCCCTGCTCAGTAAGAAACAGGGGCCCTGCCCCACAGCTCACTGGTATGGGGAACCCAGGTGCTTCGTCCCCCCGCTGTTGCTACTTTGCTGAACTAACCTGGCACCTGCCCCTCTCCTCACTGTTCCCAGGGCAGCCCCTGCTGGTGGGGCAGGTTGTCACCCTCTGACCCTGTCGCCTCCCCCGTGCAAACCAGGCATGCTCAGGGAATGCCCTTCTGGAAACAGCCCCCTTCTGCCCGCTGCTGTTCCCTCTGTTGAGCCCCCTCAGCAGTGACACGCTTGGAAAAGATGCCCATGTTTCAGACCCTCACTCCCTTCTCTCTGGAAGCCACTGCAGCCTGCTTCTCCTCTCCATGCTGCCCAAACAGCTTGCTTTACTCAGCTCAGGCTGCCATAGAAAATGCCCCAGATGGAGTGGCTTCAACAACAGAAATCCTCACAGTTTTGGAAACTGAAGCTCAAGATCAAGGCTCTGCTGATTTGGATCGTGTCATGGGCTCCTGTCCTGCTTGCATATGGCTGCCTCCTCCCCGTGTCCCCACACGTCCTCATCTTCTAAGGACACCAACTGTCAGATTACAGTCCCACCCTTAAAACCTCATTTACCTTCATTATTTCCTGAATGGTCCTATATTCAAAGAGAGTCACACTGGGGTTAGGGATTCACCAAATACATTTTTTGGGAGGGTGAGCACAATTCAGTCCTATAGTACCACTCATCAGGACCTCTTTTGACCTCCACATCACCAAATCCAGGGTCAGTCCTTACGCCTCACTCCATGGGCATCTGACGCTCAGCCTGTCTGAAGACAAAACTGCTGTCTTACTCTCACCTTTCCATCATATCTTCCATGTCAGTGGGTGGCAGCTCCGTCCTTCCTGAAGCTCAGGACATTGGCCACCAGCCTTGACTTTGCTTTCTATCTCTCCCCAGGGTGCATAGGTAAGCACATTTTTTTCTTCAGGACATCTGGAACCAACCACATGTTCAGCCCCCCATGGCCACCTGCTGCATGACTGATGGTCCCTGCTTCACCCTGTGTTGGCTGAACAATGTCCTTCCTCTCGCTCCCCCAAGATCTCCTTGTCCTAATTGCCGTAGCCCGTGACTATGTCCTTTCATATGGCAAAAGAGGCCTTGCAGATGTGGTTAAAGGAAGGAACATGAGACAGGGAGGTGATCTGGGATTGTCCCAAAGTAGTCATATGGATCTTTCTAGGAGGGAGGCAGTAGGTTACACAGAGCGAGGGTGTGTGATGGCAGCCATGAGCCTAAGGATGAGGAAGCTTCCAGAACATAGGAAAGGTGAGGAAAAGGATCCTCTCCTGGAGCCTCCAGAAGAAATAGCCCAGCAAAACCTTGATTTAGATTTCTGAATTTGTGCTGTTTTAAGCTGCAGAGTTTGTGGTTATTCTTACTGTAGTCATAAGAAACACATGCCTTCCATGCGGCCCTCGAGGGCTTCCGTGTCTGGCCTGTTAAATCTTTGGCCTCCTCTGCTTGCTTTGGCCACCTTTACCACCCCGGCTGCCCCTCCTGCCTCTGAGCCTTTTCTCTTGCCATTCCTCCTTCCCAGGGTGCCATTCCCCTCACTCACTCTGCCCCAATGTCTTCTTCCTACTGGAGAGACTTCCTAGTCAGCTGTACCCATCTCCCTCACCTGGCAGCCTGGCCATTCCCTCTACCTCAGCCCTGCTTTATCATTCCTCTTGCATGTCACCACTTGCCGTGCTCTGCACCTGCTGTGCTCCTCAAGATGGCAGCCCCCCAGTGGGAGGGACCTGCCTCATGCACCGCTGTCCCATGGTGTCTGGAAAGTTTCTGGCATGTTGTGAGCACTCAAGAGATGCCTGTTGGAGAAGCGAATGAATGAGTGAATTCTACAGTAAGGAGACCTTGACCAGACAAGGGGAATGGCCTAGGTCAGGGTCAGCACTGCTCCTGGGAGTAAAGCACCTCCCGCACTGTACTGTGGGAAAACCTGCCACACTGGGCAGACTCAGTGCCTTTCAGAGGCTGATGTTCTGCCGGTGGCTCCAGGGTAGGTGTCTTATGCCCTTTGGGCTTCTGCACCCTCAGCTGCGAATGACTGGCTGAGTAAACAGGTGAGTCAGTGCTGTTGTGTGGGAACAGCTTGGCAGTCAGAGGATCAGGAAGAAGCCACAGCAGTGAGGGGTAGTGGACCACTCAGAACCACTGAAACATGGAGTCTGGCTCTGGACAACAGCTGAGAGGGGCCACCACGGGGTGCCTAGGGGTAAGAGATCCAATGTGAATCTCCCTCCACACAGGGTGGCCAAGGCAGAAGTAGGGAGGACCCAACTGTGGGACCAGGTGCTGGTATGAGGAGAGAGAGGCAGAGAGCTCTGAGGTGTGGTTTGGATACAAAAGCCAGGATTTTCTGGAAAGCAGAATTCTGGGGTGGGCGGGGGGGGGGGGGGGATTAAGGCAGAGGGCTGA